TTCAGCTTCATTCAAGTGATTTTGCCAGGTTTGATGGAACTTTTAATTTCTTGGATATCTGTTTGAATCTGTTTCATGGATTTGAATTCTTTCCTATATTGTTCATTCAAAGTTTATCATTTTTCTTTGCTCTTTTGTTTATTTATCTAAATGCTCTTTAGATGTGCTGAGCAATCCTTTCATTATTATTTTCAATTCTATTTTACCTGAGAGACTTTTTGTGTTCTGATGTCTTCTATATCCTGATAGAGTTGTTTCTTTACTTCAGTTGCTATCATTTCAGAAATTTCAATTGTTTGATGTCCAAGATCTTCTGTGTTGATATCTCCTGGACCTGGTCTGGGTGGGGTGGAGGTCTAAGATTGCATTTTGCTCCTTCATTTTCTCATTTTCAAAGATCCATAAGTTCCCTGGAGCTCAGCCTCACTCCCAGGGTGGTGTGGGAATGGCAGGGCAAGGACCCCAAGGTCCCCAGTGCTCAGCATAGCTCCCACGATGGTGTGTAGGCTGGGGTGGAGCTTTCTGGGGCTCAGCTGGATCCCACTCCAGTGGGGGAAAAATGGGGGTGGATGACAGAGTTTCCCTAAGCTATCCAGGTATCAGTTTGTCTCTCACACAGGGTTCCCTAAGCTGTCAGGGACTCAGTGCAGCTCTGACAAGGTGTAGAGTATGGTGGGGTGTGGTCACTGAAGCTCCTGAAGCTGTCGGGTGCCCAGCTTGGCTCCACTGGTGGGAGATGGACAGGAGCAGCTCAACAAATGTTCCCAAAACTGCCTGTGGTTGAGCTGGCCCCTGTGAGGGTGTCGGGGGGGAAGGGTATGGTCACCAAGGCCCCCAAAACTGTCCAGGGCACATCTTGCCTCCTACGCAAGGTTCCTGAAACTGTCTGAGACTTGGCTCCTTCCTGCGAGGTGTGGGGGTGGGGTATGGAATGGTCACCGAGGCTCCCAAAGCTGTCAAACGGTCAGCCCAGCTCCCTTGAGGATGTGAGGTGGGGGCAGAGCAAGGTCATCTATGCCCTCAAAGCTGTCCAGGGCTCAGCTTGGCTCCCTTGCAAGGTTCCCAAAACTGTCTGGGGCTTAGTACAGCTCCCACCTAAATAAACTTTCATCAAAGTTTAATTTGTTATACTTCTATTATATTATGCATTCAGCTTGTATATTTGTATATTTCTTTCTTTTCTTTTCTTTTTTTAGATAAGTTCTGGCTATGTGGCCTTGAATTCACTTATTTATCCCAGGCTGTCCTGGAATTCATGATGATCCTCCTGCCTCAACGGACATACCACTGTGCCTGGCAGTATACTTCTGTGTGATTAGTCACAAATGTGTGTTTATGGTTTTAGTGGGGACAAGGAGGAAACGATGGCAAGAAAAAAAATATAGGGGCTAGTGAGGTGACAGAGGAAGTCAGTTTGGGATAATTAGAGGTCTAAAACAAAAAGTAAAAATATCAATTCTTCTACATATATTATTCAAATTTATTCTTTTATATGCCTTTTAATATTCCCTATCATTTCTGTTGGCTTATAAATTCATCTACATTTTTTAAAATGCTTCTTTCTCTAAAAATATATGTATTTACATAAGATCATTTGAAGTTGTTTGTATCTCTGTGCTTTTTGTCACTTACAACACTAGTGGTTGGATTATGTCAATGCAAGTTTTCCTCTTCACTCTGACAAAACACTTGACACCAAAAAAAAAGAAAGAGGTTTACAGTATCTTCAGTCATTGTCAGTTGGTTCCCAAGCAGAAATGGCCTGCTGAGGTCTAGGTAGAGTTTAAGTTGTCCTTTTCATGGCAACCAAAAGTACCCAGAAAGCAGGAATTTAGACTGACTGGCCTCTAACTAATCCCTACCTCCTAACCCCACACTCAGCTGCTGATATGTTAGTGCGTGAATACACTCAGGAGTGTAGCACTTCCATAACAACTCACCTATTAAAAGCAATGCTTGTGAGTTCATGAGTATTTAGGGAACATCCTGGATCTAAACCATACCAGGGGTTATCATACTGAAGATAAAAATTACTAATTTAGTATAACTATTTAGAAAATAACATATATTCTGTACATTGCAAAACTACAGTAATTCTTTTCAAATTCAGGAGATATTTCAACATTAACAAATTAACATTGCATTTTTAAGTTTTCATCTAGAAACTTGGTCATTATCGAATGTATGTGCTCATGCATGCTGATTTTCCCCAGGTAGAAATTGCTTAAATCCTAAAAGAAACATGTTTTCATATGAGAAATTCCAACTGATACCATGAGATATAATAAAATGTTGATGAAAAAAGTAAAGTGCAATGGGACCAATATGCTGAAGATGCAAAACTCTGGGGAAAGGTGGGTTTAAATTCCAATGTTTTAGATTCTAAGAAGCTTAGATTCTAAGAAGCATTCAAAAGGCTGCTGGGAGAAGTATAATCAGCAGAATCTTGTAAGCTACCCCCACCAAGTCTTGGCAATCACAAGTGGAAACCTAACAAAACACAGTGTTTCTATTAAAATACTGAGCTTAAACACAAGTTTTCTCAGAGTTCATTATAAATTCTGAAAAGGAAAGATTTCCAAAAGGAACAACTAGAATCATTTCAAAGACAAAAATTTTGTCCATGTCAAAGTGATGAGAAAACAATCACTACAGTTCAGAATTTGCAGAAAAGCATGCTCAATGAAAAGTGGTTGTTTTGTATAGGTAGGCCCAAAGAGATGTACGTAGGGACTTGTGAGGCCCTTTATTTTACGTTAGTCATTCCTTGAATTATGACAGCATGACTCTTTCTTCTTTCCCTCCTTCCTTCCTTCCTTCTTCCTTCTTTGCTTTTCTTTACAATTCAGCCTCCTGAGTAGTGGAACTACAATTAATGGACAACACAGCCAGCTCAGATAATCACACATTTTCAAAGAGCCTATTACCAACCCCAAAATTCTATATGGTAAAATTCAGAACTGTTTTGGATCCTCTATAATTTGAATAAAAAATGTTGAGCATATAAAACACTATAGAATTATACAAAGGAAGTAACAGACAATATATAGTCAATTAAAGAACCAATAAAAAATATTAAAGTATAATACACTGAATAGAGTAATAAAGATGTGTAAGATCTCATGTAATATAAAATTACATACATAAGTAGGATTTAACAGAAGAAAAAAAAGAATCTTCTTTTAGTACAAAAACAGTTTTTATTTTTTCAAAACTAATAAAAGCATATATCCACCAATTGTAAATGCTATTCAGTAGAATGCCAGTTAAAATCACATGTAGGGATAACACAGTCAATATAAATTATATGCAAAGTCAATTTCTAATTTAGGTAAGTAACATAAAAATATTACCTACAAACAGAAACTGTAAGCCTGACAGAAAAACTTCTCAATAGAAAGAGAAAATGTAATGATGCGTTAAAGACAGATCATGAGTAACTATCACTCTAGAATTTCTCACAATCAAAATTTCACATATAATAACAAAGATATAAATTAATAACAAATATGCTCTTAACATTAAAGAAAATTAAGCTAGAAATTATAAAAGAAATAGGAAAAATGCATTTTTTCAGTTATTCACAGCAAGAAATGATTGATTTATTTAGGAAGAAAACAGATTGAGATAAAAACCTGCACATTCAAAAGCAATTAAAATAAGAATGAACATTAATCATGTGCATACAAAAATGTTAATTCCCCTCGAGGATCTCATATACAGAAAATTAGAAACATGACAAGCCTGTCATAAAAAATGTACATGAAAATACAGACCTCGAAGACCTTGAGGGTGTTCAGCTTACAAGGAGAAAACACTAACATATATTGAAACAATGTCATGACATAATGAAGCTGGAATCATCAAAAACTTCAAAGGTTAAATGACTAATGCAACAACCAGAGGTGAAAAATCTGAATTTTGGGATAACAGTAAGTCTTTTCTACTACCCAGCAACACTGGTTCTGGGTTTATAACCAACCAATATGACGGTTCTTATAGATTAGTCAAGGGAAAGAAAACACTTCCCTGTGTAACAAGAGTCAGACAAGCTTTTGGATTTTGGAGGCCGTATTAACTGTATCTCAACACTGAATTCTGTCATTTGTTACCAAAGCAGACTCAGATCACGTGGAAATGAATGGATGTAAGTGTTTCCTACAGAATATTATTTCCCAAAACAACTAACAGATAAGTTTGTGTAGATCTGTTAGGATATGCAAAAGAAGGAATTATTCTTTTTTCTCACCATCAGTGCAGACTATATGCTCCAATATATACATATGCTTACCAAGATCATTTTTTCTGAGCTCACGGTGGACAGAGTATATGTCGGTGCCCTTTACTTTTGAGACTGGCCATGTTCAAAGGCAAACATTGATTTAAAGTAAACAAGGGTTGATGGTGGAGCATCCAACTGAACCAAGGTGAGTTTTATAATTACATCTACAGTATATTTATATGCAGGGACAAATATGAGCATAGAACATACAGAGTTAATATCCATAAAATGGTCACTTATATTCTAGAAAGTTTGAAATAATTTCTCAAGGAAGAGTTCAGATTTAACATCCACTGTTCACATTTATGATATAACTAGCCACAAATTTAGCAATAACAGACCATAACTTGTTGTTTTGAAATAAATTTTTATAGAATAAATTTTTGCATTCTATATCCATACTAGAAATTTTTGCATTTCTATATTAAGAAAATACAAAATGAACCTGAGCCTTGTAGATAGAATGACAGCTATATTGTAAAGGTCTATCAGTTGTGATGGATTCCTGACATCAAGCAAAATTATTTCAAATATGAGGATCTTGTTTTCCCAACTAGTAAAGATTTTGATGACTTTGTCTGAGGCATATGATATCACATTTCCTGTGGTTTTCCTTACCCACAAATAAGGGGGTATAAATGGTCCTCGGCTGACAGTGAGACTTATACTTCAGATAACAACTTCCTGGTCCTGAACTGAACTGTCCACTCCTGACACCATGTGCTACTACAGCAACTACTATGGTGGCCTGGGCTATGGCTATGGCAGCCTAGGCCGTGGCTATGGCTGTGGTTATGGCTATGGTGGCCATGATGGCTATGGTTATGGCTGTTACCACCCGCTGTGCTGTAGAAGATACTGGTCGTATGGTTTCTACTGAGAAATTTCCACAGCTTCTTAGCCTATTGGTTAGAACTTTTGGTTTTCCTGGAATTACTTCCAATTTTCTTCATGATAAATTTTTTGATATCTTTAAAACATCAACAATGTACTAAACCATATAAAAACGACAAAACCATCCATGGCTTTTTGATTCTTCAGTATCTATGGGTTAGTTTGTAAAAACAATTCCTGTAAAATTTTTTATAAATCTATATAAAATATAATCAATTTGTACTCTCAGTTTTTGTAAAAATTGAGATGTATACATAAAGAGATTTATTACCAAATCAACTGTATTTCACTATAATTATTGCATTGTTCTTTCTGCCACATTTGGATTTTGCTTATATATTTCTATATTTGTGAAATTTGACATATTTTTCTCACTGGTCAACAAAATATGATTCTCATTGACTTATGCTCTTTGTCTGTTCCACAAATGGCTTTTTCTAAATAAAATCTGTATTTACATCTGATTATTCAAAGTTATGTGTATCTGTATTCTTTGGGTCATTTATAACACTAGCATTGGCATTACATCAGTGAGTGCTAGCTCTGAAATCTTTCTCATTTTCTAAAAATTATTCTGCCTGGAATATTGTTACAGATGTTGTCCTAGACACTGTTCTCATTGTTTTGACAAATTACCCAAAACTCACAACATAAAGGAAGAAAGCTTTATGTAGGTTCATGTTAGGTGAATACCAACGAAGAAATGGCATGGTGGGGATGCCTGGGAAGAGCATAAACTGCTCATAATCTGGTAGCCATTAAGAAGGGAGAAAAGGGTGGAAAGGAAGGGAGACAAAGTCTTTCAGGTCACAACCCTCACAAGCCTGTAACCAGTCCCCATCTCAGAATACTGCATACAGTTGCTGAAACTCTAGCACATGAATAAGCCAGTAAGTTTCCCACCCCTATTATCCAATCGCTTTTCAAAAAGCACTTCCCCTGTGTGCTTGATTGTTTACGGGGACATTCCAGATTGAAGCCATCACAGGTGTTATCGTACTGAAAATGTCAGCAATAAGAATGGTATTCTGGCTTGCCAACATACAGTGTCTCTACATAACAATTTAATCCAACTATTCAGAAAACCATGTATGTATTACACATAGCCAAAATAAATCCTTTCAAAATCAGGAGATATTTATTTGCTCATAACTTTGTTACTGTTCTTATGCTTTTGCATACATAATAAGTATTGTTATGTTATCATCAGTTTTGTTTTTGTTTTTAACTGAGAAGCTTGGTCTTTATAAAACGTATTTGTTTGTGCATGCAGATTATCTCTAGATTAAAATCCCTTCCATTCTAAAATGAATTTAGTTTCATTTGGGAACTCCAACTGACACTATCAAATGCACTAAAATGCAGATAGAAAATGTAAGGAATAAATGTAAATGTGTTGAAGATAGGGAAATTTAGAAAAGTTCATGGAAATTCTAGGAGGAAGGGAAGAAGGTTGCTGGGGGAAGTAAAATCAGCAGAATTTTGTGTGCTTGCCCCATTCAAGCATAACAAACCACATTATTGGAGACATAAAGTAATAATGAAAACGACATACTGTTACAATCCTTAGGTTAACACAAAGCAAGGTTTTCCATTAAGACACTGAACAAGTAGGAGGCTGTTCACTAAGAGAAGAAGTCTCATTTGAACAAGCAATTTTGTCCACATCAAGCAGATGAGGAAAGAAAAAATACTACAGTTCAAGAATTTGCTAAGTACCCTTAATTGCAAAGGAAGGCTCTCTTTCTAGGGTAAGTCGATTAGGACCCACCCTATAAGATAGTATCCAGGAGTTTTATTTCATGTTAGCCTTTGGTTGAATTATGGCAGTCAGACACCTTTCTTTTTATCTTCTTTCTTTCCTTTTTTCCTTTATTCTTTCAATCTTTCTTTCCTTCATTCTTCCTTTCTTTTAGATTGATTTTTTTATACCATATAAGATTATCTAAAAATTCTGAGCTCAAGTGGTATTTGCAGTTTCCAAAGGATAAGCAAAGGTCACTACAACCAGCTCAGAAAGTCAGATAGGTTCTCAGAGCCTGTGAGCAACCCTCAGACCTCTGTGCTGAAACACAATACTGGTTTGGATACTTTAAAGAAAAATGTAGAAAATATGAAATCCTGTTGAAAGTTTGAAAAACAAGTGGCATAACTGTTATGTTTTGTGTCTGCATGTCCCCCAAATCCTCATGCTGTTATGGGGCTGGCTTTTAGATTTTTGATTGGTGGTCCAATGCTGGGATTATGGGTGCAAATGCTACACCCACTCTGGGGTGGGTAGTGTGCATATGTAAGAGAGAGAATGAGGCTGTTTGCCACCACTCCTTCCTTTTGCACTTGTTGCTTTACTGTGTTCCTCTGCCATGAACATTTCCCCTCTGCCATGTGCCACTCTGCCTTGGAGCCTGCCAAGTGTGGACTGAAACCTCCACAAACTGTGAACTAAATGAACCTTTCCTTCCTTAATTCTGAGTGTCAGGTATTTTGTCTCAGCAATGAGAAAAAAGTAACCAAGACAATGACAAAAGCTAACCAAAAAAAGAACATATTGCCATTTGCAGACAAGTTTAAGAATCAATGTAATTAGTTAATATGATATTAAAGGAAATTTGCAAAGTAAAGCTAAAGGAATTCATCAAAGAGTCAAATTTAAATTCCAATTGTCAAAAAAGCAAACAATTCACTTAAAAATTGAGTAAACTTAGTTATTAAACTGAAAACTACATTGATAATATATACTGAAATGTACTAAAAATAAGAAAAATTAGAATACTAAATATAAATGGTATGAATGATACATCAGATCTCATGAAATGTCAAATATACAAATAAGCTGAAAGTCACTAGAACAACAAAAAAAGCCCAAAGCATTTTGAGTAGAAAAATATTGTATATTTTTTCCAAGCTAGTAAAAACCATGTCCACAAATTTGCAAAGCTAGTCACTGCCAAGAGCGATACTGCCAATTAAATCAAGTGTTAGCTTAAGTCAGTAGCTCAAAATTAAATGGAAGGCCAAACTATTACTTTAGTAGATAAAATAAATATGTTACTTACACAGAGAAACAGTAAGGATGAATTCAATAGTCCTCTATAAAAAGAGAGCTAGAAGAAATGTAATGATATCTAGAAGACTGTCTAGGAAAAGCTATTCAATATAGAAATACATTCAATCATAGTTACCCATCAAATAAAATAAAGCAAAAGGGCATATTAATAAAATATCAAGTATCTTCTTACAAGTTAAAATATATAAAAAAGTTACAAGACAAATAGTGACAAATACACCTTTCTATTATTCACATTAAGAAATGGTTTCATTTAGGAAGAAGGAAAGTGAGAAAAATGTGGACAAACTGAAATATACAAGTGAATTAAAATGAAGACAAATATTGCATATTTGGCAACAGAAAGTAAGATAAGTGGCAAGAGTATCACAAAACATTGTGCACGAAAATATGTAGCTCTACAACACCACGCTGACTAGGGAAGAACAAAGGATAGCATACACTGAAAAAGACGCATAAGTCAATAAAGTTGTAAAAGTCAGAATATGCAAAAGTAGAGTGGGTAGTGGAGCAACTGGAATGAAAAAGTTGACTTTTTGAAAAGTGTTAAGTCTCATCTATGGCCCAGCAATATTGGCCCTGGGTGAATCTGCCACCAATGTGAATATTCTTACAGATAGATCACTGAGGCAAATACAAACAATGCTGTGCAAAAATAAAAACCAAATATTTTGGATTTTGGAGGCCACATAAGCTGTCAGCACTCAATTCTGTCATTGTGGCATCAAAGCAACACTAGACCTTGTGCAAACAACAAATAGATGTGAGCATTTTCCTACACAAATTATTTCCCAAAACAAATAATGGACAAGTTTGTGTAAACCTGAAGTAGGATAATATGCAGCAGGATTATTCTTTCTTTACTCTTAGTGCAGGGCATCAGTCCCTTCCTGTTGAGGTTGGTTATGAAGGTCACTTGTCCTGAGCTCACTGTAGAAAGAGTGTATTTCTGTGCTCCTTGTGTTTGGGGTTGACCATGTTCAAAAGTAAACAGTGGTTTAAAAAGTAAGAAAGAATTGCAGATGGAGTATTGAACTTAATCATGATGTGCTTCACTTAACATCTACAGTACGGTTACATGGAATGACAAAGACAAGCATAGAACATATACAGTTACTCTCCACAGAATAGTCACTTAGTCTCTGGAATGTTTGAAACCATTTACCCAGGGAGTAAGTTCAGGCAAATTGTGTACGGTGCACACATATGATAGAAACTAGCCCTGAAGTTAGTGGTAACATCTAGTAGCTGCTTTGTCATGAAGAAGAGTCAAGAATTAATGTGCTCCTGGCATCACATATCAAGAAAAGTCTGCATAGGAAGACAGAAAGAATGAAGGAAGGAGGAAGGGAAGAAAAGAAAAGAAGAAACATGAAGGAAGGAAGGGGGAGAGAGAAACAAAGAAACAAAGAAAGAAGAGGCAATGTTGTGTGGAAGAACTTTTTAAGAGAAGAAAATTATGGCATCTCTTTCATCTTCTGTACAATAACATATAATTAGGTCATATGTACATGACCAACTATATATAGAATGAACTAGAGCCATCAACACAAAGCAAGAGACTAATATCATCAATTCCTAACATTGGAGCAAAATTATCTGTTACGAGGATCTCGTTTTCACCATAAAGGTATGGATGATATCAGAGCACATTAGTGAGATAATGTGATGATGTATTTCCTGTGTTTTTTACCATGTACCACCAAGGAGGTATAAAAGGTTTTCCTTTGGGAGAAAATGAAATCTAGACTCAAGATACCTACTTTATACTCCGCAAGTGAAAAATCTCCTGATACCATGTAATACTATGGCAAATATTTTGGTGGCCTGGACTACAGATATGATGGCCTAGGCTGTGGTTATGGCTATGGTGGCTATAGTGGCTGTGGTGGCTATGGTGGCTATGGTAGCTACGATTATAGCTGTGGCCATCGCCTGTGCGGTAGAAGGTACTGGTACTATGGCTTCTACTGAGGAATTTTCATAGTTTCTTAGCCTATTGGCTACAAACACCTGATTTATGGGATTATCTCCAATTTTCTCAAATGGAAAACAATTTAAATATCTTCAAATACCAACTACACACCAAATTTAAAAAGCCAAAATAGTTATATGATCTGAAGAGAAACCAGAACATCTACATACCAAATTATATGAAAACACAAAAAAATACAATGTGCAGTTTGATTCGCTGACATTAATGGGGTAACGGGATGGTTTGTAGAATAGGTTCTATGCTATTTTTATAATTCTCCCTAATGTGTAATCAAATGTAGTCTCATTTTTTGTATAAATTGATGTATCACTAAATAAACTATATTTTATCATAAATATTGCTCTGTTACTGTTCTACATTGTAAGTGTTGCTTATATATTTATATATTTTTGTGTATTTAATCCCACTTTTGATTTTGTTGAATTGAGGTAGACAAAGAGATAAGATGAAAAGAGAAAGAATGTAGAAGTGATGAGAGGGTGGGAGGAAGTGAGGTAGGAGCCTCTTTTGCGATAACTAGAGTTTTAAACTGAATGGCTAAACATTCCAGTTCTTTCTTACAAACCATACAAACTTATTTTCACATACGTGGTGATCTCAAGTATTATTTTTGTTTGCATATGCTCTTCATCTATATTTCTAAATGGTTTTATCCAATTATATCTACATTCACATCAGATCATTTAAATTTGTGTGTATCTCTCTGCTTCATTTGACTTGCAACACCAATGGATAGATTGTTTCAGGTAGACCTTTAGCTTAGAAAAGACAATATTTATGTTTAGAAGAATATTCTGTGGAGATAATTGTGCTGTCTTAGTTACTATTCTCATTGTTTCATGAAAATTCCTTGTTCCCACAACAAAAAGGAGGAGAGGTTGTGGCGGCTCACAGTCTGGCAGCTTCCAGGAAGAAATAGCGTGTGAAAATTCTTAGATAGGAGGTAAAGTGTTCATCTCATGACAGCCAAGAAGAGAGAAAAGTAGGGGAAGGAGATAAACCCCTACAGGTCACACCCCCAGGGAGCAATCCCTTACCAGGCCCCACCTCTGAACATCACACTGAGTGGCTGAAATATCATTAAATGAATACACTAGGGAGTACAATACCCCTATAAGCCAGTTACCTTTCAAATTCTCTGTCTGTGAGTGCGTGATTATTTTGGGGGACATACTTGTTCTAAACCATAACAGGTGTTGGTGTATTGAAAATGTCAGTGATAATAATGACATTCTGACTTGCCAACATACCACTAACTAGTACCTTAATATATACCAATTTTTAAAATATTTTTAAAAATAGGATATTATTATTCAAAGTAATAAGTAGCTCTATAAAGCCATTTGAAAGTTGCTCAGTAACAAATTTACTTTATGTTTTATCCAGAAGTATGTCTATGTTAATTATATATGCTCATTCATGCTGGTTTTTTCCAGGTTAAAATTGCTTCAATCCTAAAAGAAATCAAGTTTCACCTCGGACACTCCAACCACTATCATCACATGTAATGAAATATTGATGGAAACAGACTGGATTAAAGGGACCAATACAATGAAGATGAAGAAATTAGGGAAAAGCCAATTGGAATTCTCCATTTCTCCAGGAGGCAGGTGAAAGGCTTCTGGGTAAAGTATAATCAGCAGAATTTTGGCTGCTGATCCACTAAGACTAATAAGCTACTGCTTAAGACAAAACCACAATTCTGAAAATGATGCACTAATAAATTCAGAGTTTAAAACACAGTAGGGGCCTTCAGTAAGATGCATGACAAACTCTGAAATTGTAAGGGCCTCTTTCCTGAAAGGACCACCAGAATCCTCAGAAAATTAGAAATTTTTCCACATCAATATGATGAAAAAATAATCACCAGAGTTCAAAATTTGCTAATAAGTAATACCCCTCATTTAAAAGGGAGTATCTCTTATAGAATATATTTAACACACTTTTATACATCATTGTCTTACTACATATTAGTCTTTGCTTGAATTATAGGGCAGTTTTCTTTCTTCCCTTCTTTGTTTTGTTTAGTTTTTTCTTAATTTCTTTCTCTCTTTTCTTCTTTCTCTCTTGCATTTTTCTCCCATTTTTTATTCATTTAGATGGATCTTGTTACTCTGTCCAGGACTGTCTAAAATTTCTGAGCTCAAGTGATCCTCCCAGCTTAGCCTCCAGAGTAAATGGGACACCACAACTGGCTCAGACTACCACACATTTTCTAAGAGCTTAGGAACAAACATAAAAATATCTATGATAAAATCCAATACTGATTTTGATCACCTATAGTTTTATTAACAAATGTTAACTGGATGAAACTCTGAGGAAATATATAAAAGAAGTAACATAATAAAATCTAACTAAAACATAATCAACATCTTATGTTTACAGACATGTTAGAACAGACATGATTAATAAATATTGAATAACTAAAGAAAATTTACAAGATATATGTTAAAACTGGAGAAATTCACTATGGAATCTAAGTTAAATTTTAGTTGACAAAAAAGAGAATATTATGCTTAAAAACTCAATAATATTAAATAAATTGTTGACCTGGAACATGTATATATAATATCAGTTGAATTCAAAACTAGGAGCAATTGAAATATAATATACAGACTATAAAGGATATATCACATCTCATAAAAGGGCAAAACACATGTTGGTGGAATCCAGTAGTGGAAGAGAAGTGAAGCAGAAATAATTTTTGACTAAGAGAAATGCTGTATATTTTTTCAAAAGTTTTGAAAGTCATTTGTCCATAAATGTAAAAGCTACTCACTTCCATGAAGATAAATACCAATTAAAAATAAATGTGTAAACAAAACTTAGTATCTGAAAGTTAAGAGATAATACAAAACTCTTAATTTAGGTACATCGAAAAGTATGTTATCTGCAATGAGAAACAATGAAGTTGACAGTAAAATTCTTCTATAAAGCAAAATGGTAGCCTAAAGAAAAGAATAATATATTAGTGACAGATTAAGAATAATCAGCAATCTATAATTTCATACAATGGAAATTACCTATATAATAATATAAAGTAAAAACATTTTAAGTAAATATTATCTTTAAGGCAAGAAATTAAAATAAATGTTAAAAGTAGTGAAATATTTATTTTGTTAATTATTCACAGTAAGAAATGACAGATTCATTTAGGATGAAGGAAAGTGAGATAATAACATGGATTTTCAAAAAAAATGACATTAATTAAAATAAAAATTAGTCATACAATATGACAATGATAACTACTTCTAACTTTTTATATACAGAAAAGAGATACATGAAAAAAGGAACAGAATTTTGGCAAAAATATGTAGTTATGAGGCAAAACTCTTACTAGGAAAATAGAAGGATGACGTATGTTGCAAATTAATATCATCAATGAATAAAGGTGGAAATGTCAGAAACTTCAAAAGCTTAGTGTGTACTGGGACAACTGGAATTAAAACGCTGAGTTTTAGAAAAGAAATGTCTCTTCTATTTCCAGCATTACTAGGTCTAAGTGTATAACCAGCCAGTATGGCAGTTCCTACAGATCAGTCAGGGCAACGCAAACTCTTTTTTGGCAAGAACAGGTAATATTTTGGATTCTGCAGACCTATCATCAATGTCTCAATGTCAATTTGGTCACTTCAGTGTCAAAGGAGACCCATAGCATCTGTACACAAATGGAGGTGAATGTTCTCCTATAAAATATTTACCAAAACAATAATGGAAAAGAGTATATATGACTCTAATTTGGGATATCAAGCAGCAAAAATTACTCCTCTTTCACCATTAGTGCAGGATTATATGTTGCTTACTCCTTGAGTATGGTTACCAATGTCAGTTGTGCTGATCTCATTATGGACAGGGTGAATTTCCACGCCACTTGCCTTTGAGCTTGGCCATTTTCAAAGGAAAACCCTAATTTAAAAAGTGAAGTATGTTAGGGTTAAGCATGGAACATCAAACTTAACTAGGGTGTATTTCACAATTATATCTACAATATGTTTATATAGCTGCAAAGAGAACCACAAAACATATAGAATGTCTGTCTATAAAATGGCCATTTTTTCTGCAAAGTTTAAAGTTATTTATCACAGAGTAAAATCAGAATAATATGAACTCTATAAACATCTGATAGCAACTAACAAAAATATTACAAATACTAACCATGACCTTGCACATTTGTCATGAGCAAGGGTCAAGAAATAAGTTACTGAACAATAGTTACTGATTGTTACCAAACACGGGTCAAGCAATAAGTTGTTCCCGGTAAGATTCTTTTGAGAAAGAAGACAGGAACAAAGAAGAAAAATAGTAAAAAGATGAAGGAAGAAATGAAAGAAGGAAAGAGACAAAAAGGAAGAAATAAATATGTCTCTCTGGAGGATTGGGAATTAAACAAACCCAAAATAAAAATGGGACTCATGTTTTCAAGGTTTGCACCATAACATATAATTGGTCAACGCATGTGTACACAATTTACTAAATATTGAATGAACCAAAGCCATGCAAACAGAACAAGAGTTTCATTTTTAGAGGCCTATAATTGGATGATGTATTTCTGACATAGGAGCAAAATTATCTCAGTTATGAAAGCTTTGTTTTCAACAAAGATACTCATGACTTTGACCACATTAGTGAGACAATGTGACACTGCTCTGTCTGTGGTTTTCCCCTTCCCACCACCAAAGAGGTATAAAAGGCCCTTCCCAAAAAGGGATACCAAGACTCAAGACACCTACTTCCCAGTCCTCAACAGAACTCCCCACTCCTGACACCATGTGCTACTACGGCAACTACTATGGTGGCCTGGGCTATGGCTATGGTGGCCTAGGCTGTGGCTATGGCTGTGGCTATGGTGGCTATGGTGGCTATGGCTACGGCTGTTGCCGCCCCCTGTGCTGTAGAAGATACTGGTCCTATGGCTTCTACTGAGGAATTTCCACAGCTTCTTAGCCTACAGGATACAACCTCCAGTTTAATTTATCTCCATTTTTTATCATGATAAAATTTGAAATGTCTTCAAAATATCAACTAAATATTACATTATCTAAAGAGCAAAAGTCAACATATTTTAATTCATCAGTATCAATTGGATTATGTGATAGTTTGTAGAAAGCCTTTAGTATTATTTTTATACTATGTAAAATATGATCAAATTCAACTCTCAATTTTTGTATAATGAGATGTTTTATTTAATAAACTATATTTTACCATAATTTTTTTGTTGTTCTACTAATTTGTGAGTTTCACTTATACATTTGTGTGTGATTAGTCACAGTGTCTGCTTATGGTGTTGTTTTTTGGTTTTTCTCCGGCACCGGGAACCGAACTCACGACCTTGCACTTGCCAGGCAGGCTCTTTGCCGCTGAGCTAAATCCCCAGCCCCTGCTTATGGTGTTTTGCAGAGAAAGTGAAAAGGGGAAGGATGGCAAGGGGAGGTGAAAAGAAGCTCTTTTGCCATACATAGAGATCTAAACTAATGGATGAAAATATCAATTCTTTCTCACAGGTCATACAACTCTGTCTTTATTTATGTTAATAAGTATGTTATCTGCAAATTGAAGTAATGAGGCTGATAACCAAAACTTCTGTACACAAACAAACAAGGCTGAGAAAATATGTAATGATAAGTTAAACATAAATTATGTGCAATCTAATGTTCTTTTTAGTTGTATAATAATATTATGTATTTTGTCTCAGTAATGTAATGTATTTTAGTTGTATACATTTAGTTGTATACAATCTAATGTATTTTAGTTGTATAATAATATTTACTTGTGAAATCAAAAGCAAGAATGCAAATGTCTGCAAGAATAAAATAGACAAATAAATTCTGGTATACAGTACATAGAATAAACACAAAAATTAAAATTTATGAATCTTGAAAGAGAACAGAGTGCAAAGGAAAACTATTTGTGTGAACCCATTTGTGTTAGATTCAAAAATAAGCAAAAATAAAATTTATGGTCTTAGAAATGATTGCACATGAATCTAGAATTTCATGCAAATGACAATTGCCCAAATTTAGTAAATAAAATAATCATATTAATAAAATATTAACCTTTTTGGGGGCGTACCAGAAATCAAACTCATGACCTTGCACTTGCCAGGCAGGTGCTGTGCTGCTGAGCTGTACCCCTGGCACTAAACCTTATCTTTATAAACAAATAAATAAACAAATAAATTCATTTTTGAAATTATGCATGATAAGAAGTGATATATTTATTTAGAGAGAAAGAAAGTAATTGAGACAAAAATATGGACACTCAAAAATTAAATACAGGGTGGGGATATAGCTCAGCAGCATAAGTGCCTTCCTGGTTAGCATAGGTCCTGAGTTCAATTCCCAGTACCCCAAAATATTAAAAAATTAAATACAATTATTTAAATATAGAAATGTATTTTAGTTGTGTAATAATATTTACTTGTGAAGTTTTAATATGTAGAAAATGAGATATATAACAAAAGTATTATAAAAAGTATCTAGATCTAAGGGTGTAAGCTTATTAAAAAAATATTGCCTTAGTTACTTTTCTCATTACTGAGACAAAATACCCAACATCTACAGTTAAAGGAGGAGAGGTTTATTTGACTCAGAGTTTGTAGAATTTTCAGTCCATAGTCAGCTGGCCCTCAGGCAGGATAGCATGGCAGGGGACACTGCAGAGAAGGAGGAGCTGGGGAAGGACACACACCCTCCACAGGCACGCTGTGGTGACACAGCTCTTCTGCAGGTCTCACTGCCTGCCAGCACATGGAGCCACAAATGCATCAGTGGATTAATTCACTGATGAGCACAGAGCCCATGATCCAATCATCTTCCCAAACTCCATCTCTGAATTAATGAAATTTGACGGACATTCTAGATTCAACTCATTAACATAAATGATGACAGATATGTCTTGCATGGAGATTTTTGCCTGTGTATCTGTGACTTCTCTGCAATGTTTCTTCACTTTCTACATGGAGAAGGTGCCCCATTAAGCTCCTGATCTGAACAGTGGGATCTAGTAGACTTCAACTGGTCTACAACTGGAGTGAAATCCAGACTATCTAGGCCAAATTTCAGGCAACCCAAAAGCACTTGAACAAAAAGTAAACATTATTTCTATTTGTCACTGAGATTTGAGGAGTCATTGAAAAATGAAATTTATTTTTACCTGAAATTAAAAACCTAAGTTCTTCAAATTAATGGGGTAATATGATGTTGTGATATATGTATACATTGAGTAATATTTACATTAGATGAAATATATCTAACTCGTCAAGTATATTTTGTTATGGAAAAAAATTTAAAATAATTTTCCTAGCTGTTTTTGAAATATAGCACATTATTATTGTCTGTTGTCATCTAATGTAAAATAACAAACTGCAGTGTATTGCTCTTATGTACTTCCCATGGTCTCGGAAAACTACCCTTTCACTCTCAACCTCTATGAAATAAAATTTTTTTTTTTTTTTTTTGGTTTTTCTCCGGTACCGGGAACCAAACTCACGACGTTGCGCTTGCCAGGCAGGCGCTTTTGCCGCTGAGCTAAATCCCCAGCCCCTGAAATAAAATTTTAAATTCAACAATATTACAGTAGCGACTGTCTTAGACACCTACATTAGTAGGCCAAGAAATATATAAAAGATTGTTCATAACCAAAAGCAAGAATGCAAATGTCTGCAAGAATAAAATAGACAAATAAATTCTGGTATACAGTACGTAGAATAAACACAAAAAATAAAATTTATGAATCTTGAAAGAGAACAGAGTGCAAAGGAAAACTATTTGTGTGAATCCATTTGTGTTAGATTCAAAAATAAGCAAAAATAAAATTTATGGTCTTAGAAATCGGAAGAGGTTTTACTGAAGGGCTGGTATGTACGGATCCGCTGGGTTCTTGCTGTATTCCAGGAAGGAATGGTGTTGAGAATCAGGAAAAAACAGACAACAGACAAAACTCTGGGATCAGGCGGAGGTCCTCTCTATCCTGAGTGGAGAAGGGGAACTGCCTAAGAAAGGTAGAGCATTTATTTATACCCTGGAGAGGTTGATTAATTTCAGCTTCGATGCCCAACAATCAGTTAACAAGCTACAACGACTTGTTTACGTGCTTCGAGATGCTCTCATGTTCTCGGGCTGGCTTCGTCCTGCACGTGTAATTACATTCCAGCTTCAGCAGCTCCCAACACTGGTACTAAATGGAAACAGGTTGAATGTTTGGTATATTCACTGTCTATCATGGAGACAAAATACTGACATACACAGTTGAAAAAGGATAGGGATTCATTTTGTCCCACAGTTTCAGTCCTTTGATCCAATTACTTCTCTAGACTCCACCTCTGAACATTGCTACTCTTACTACATGAGTGTTTGGCATCTCTTGTTATTTAAGCCATAGGAGTAGTAACCTGAGATATGTGTTATGCAGTTTTTCTATTAAGTTCTGACTAAATAAATATTTTTCCATGAAAATTTGTCAAGTTCTACTATTATCATTTTGTTTACTTTTACGTTCTATACCGTATACATGAACGAGGTTGTTTCAAGGTCCATAAAAATACATGAAGTTAACTTACAGAAAGCATCCTGTGGGAAACATGATCTGACAGAGAAGGCAGGCTTTCACCTGAGAACAGTTGAACGATTTGGCAGAATTCTGATAACAAATTGATTGTTTTGGTTTGGTTTGGTTTTTTGTGTCTTTTTGAGGCAGGGTTTTGCTATGCAGTTCAGGCAGGCCTTGAGCTCCCTTTGTAATCCAGACTGGTCTCAAATTCACAAGGATCCTCCTGCCTTTGCCCCCCGAGCACTGGGATTACAGGTTTGTGCCCAAACTGATTGTTTTAAAAACTTACAGGATGGATTAGGTTCAGGCATTCAGAAAAGTAGCAGAAAGTAAAGAGCACTACCACATAATCTGCACTCCAGTTTTGTCTCTTCCCAATATTAATGTGTCATATTTATTACAATTTATGTGCTGATAGTGATACATTATGATGAACTGAGGTCTATAGTTTACATTGTGTTGTGCATTTTATGAAATTGATTAGTAATAGCCACAGAACTACAGTATCATACAGAATATTTCCATTCTCCTGAAATCATCTATTGCTTTAGCTAATTTTTCCTTAGTGTCCCAAACCTATGATTAAACTTTAACAATATTATTGGATAAATAGTTGTATCATTTTCATGTGTTACATAACTAGCATCATGTGCTATGTATTCATTTCAGGTAGGCTTCTTCACTGTAGCACCATGCATTCAGATATCTCCATATTTTTCTTGCTTCAACAGTTATTTCCTTTTCCTAGCAAAAATATTCAATTTGCAAGATATACCACATTTTATTCACTCATGTAATGTAGAACAGTGTCATTGGTTCTAATTCTAGCCAGTTTCAGCTGGTTTCTATATATCTATGCATAAGTATTCATATGGACATACATATTCAGTGCCTTTGGGTAAATATCAAGCAGCACATTTGCCAGATTACAAGCCAAAAGTATGTTTAATTTGATATAAAACTGGCACGCCATCTTCCAAAGTAGCTGCACCACTTTGCATTAGTACCTGTGAAAACAAATATTCCTATTGCTCCAAAACTTTGTCAATATTTAGTGTTCTCAGTGTTCATATTTTGGCCAAGATACAAGAAGTTTATTAGTATTTCATTGTTATAACTTACAGCTTCTTAATAGAATATGATGTTTAGAAGTTTTTTATCTGTTTGTTTATTATCTATAATGTTCTTGGTTGTCAGTTCAGATTATTGCCTAATTTAACTGAGTTATTTGTTCTACTATTTTTGAGAAAATGTCTCATCTTAAAGCCACATGATTTGCCTGTAGGATCCTGAATTGTAACAAAGTAATCTTTGATATAAGGACTTCATTTCACCTTATGAATTAAGAAAGTCCAAAGTATTTCTAAATAGTAGTG